CCAGGATCACGTGCTCCGAAACCTCCTCTGCTCCTCCGATGGGCGCCGGTGTCGAGGTTGCCTCTGCCCATGGGAAGAGTGGGCTGCCACAAAGAAGAGGGAGTCAAGCTATTCTCCAAAGTGCCTGAAGGCAGGACAAGAAGCAATGGGTGGAAACTAATCAAGGAGAGAAGCAACCTAGAACTAAGGAGAAACTTCCTGACAGTTGGAACAATTAACCAGTGGAACAACCTGCCTCCAGAAGTGGTGAATGCTCCAACACTGGAAGTTTTTAAGAAGAGACTGGACAGCCATTTGTCCAAAATGGTATAGGGTTTCCTGCCTGAGCAGGGGGTTGGACTAGATGACCTCCGAGGTCCCTTCCAACTTTATCATTATTATTATACTCCAGCGTGCTGGCTTGTGTCAGGCTAGGCAGATGCCAAAATAGAGATGCCTTTTTTAGAGCTTTTTCTTTTTTCTTTTTAGGATCTCCGTACAATGTGCCGGTAACGAGAAGCAACTTGCAGTGACCTTTTTTGGTACCTGCTAGAAGACTTTATTGATCTTTCCTAACTAGATGGTTCGTATTTAATTGAAGGCTCCGGAGTTTTTAATTCAGATACCTTCACCTCTTACGGTGATCTGTAACAGCCGCTGGTGCAGGGGTTGCATGAGGACTCTCCATCCTGGGAATTTAAATTGGGTGGGTGGGGGGTCTCTTAAGACAGGGCTTTTCAACCTTTTCACCCATTGTACCACTTTTAGGATATGGCAATATCCGAGTACCACCAGTCGCCTAGCAAAGGGTCAAAAACTTGATGACCAAAAAAAAAAAAAAAGGAAAAAAGTGATAAAGTACAGGCAGTCTTCGACTTACAATAGTTCGCTTAGTGACTGTTCCAAGTTACAATGGCACTGAAAAAAGTGCCCCCCAAGCCACAGCCAAGCAAGTCACCTGCCTGCCCACTCGGTGGTGCTCTTCCTCCTGTCCAAGGTTTACATTGTTGTGAGCATTTCTGTTGAGGATTGGCAGCAGAGGTGGGGTGAGGGGGGTGTTTGGTTTTTATTCCCCCTGTCTGCTGGGTGGTTGTAGCAGGTTTTGGACACTTCACATGACCCTGGGACACTGTGACCGTCATAAATATGAATCAGTTGCCAAGCATCTCAATGTAAATCACAAGACCTTGGAGATGCTGCAATATTCCAGCTGATCGGTGCTTCTTCTGGGCTCAGCAGAAGCGGCAGGATCAGCGCCGAGCTCCAGCTGGAGCCTGGCACTGATCCTGGCGCCTCCGCTGAGCCCTGACAGCCCTGCAGCTCCAGCCATCTCTCGCTCAGGCTTGTGCGGTGCTGCCACCGGTTCAGCTCATTCCCCTCCCCCGCTACCACTTTTCTAGGATAGTCGCGTACCACCTGCCAGGTGCCAATGTACCACAGGTGGTACCTGTACCACTGGTTGAAAAGCCCTGTCTTAAGACCATGAGCATGGCGGGGGAGGGGTGGAGGGGGTTCCTGCAGAGTCTCAGACTTTTGGGGTTGCCCATCTCCCAATCCCCAGAGCTCCCCGGGACAGGAAAGAGGAGAGTTTGGGGGAGCAGCCCAGATCTGGTGCTTGTCCTCATAGGGGCAATGCTGGGATTGCAGCTCATCAGCTGAGAGGGGAAAACAGGCCTGGAAAGGCTGCTAAAGCCAGATTGCAGAGTAAAAGTAATTTTATTTTATTTTTTTACTTTTATTATTTATAGTCCGCCTGCGTTTGATTCACGAACTACTCAAAGCAATCAACGTATCCAACATACTTTCCTTCCCCCTATATTCCTCACAACCACCCTGCGAGGTGGGCCGTGTGAGAAACACCCTCAGCCAAGAATTTGACAGAGTCATTCGGTGAAGGAGCAAGCCGTTTATTGAAAAATACTTTCTTGCAAGAGCGGGTGGCTAGCAAGTAGGCACACCCGAAAATCGATTTCTGCAGCCTTTATTCCCTCAGCCCGAAGCACAAAGCCTTCCCTTACAATCCCGTGCGACAAAGACCACAAGGTTCATAGCCTTTCCGGAATACTTAATTCCCCTGTACATATTTCCCTTGTTTACTCTCCATCCCATGCCCAATTCCCCCTTTCCCTGCATTGCCTTCAACTGGCAATATATGCCGTTTTACTTAACCCCCAGTTCCCGTTTTCTGAAGATTCCTGTTGAAACGAGCCGTTGCTTTCTATGTTTGCAAGCTCCTGTGGTTAATATTGCCAGCTAGCCTGTTTCTATCTGTTGACTTAGGTCCAAGACCGCAGACATTTCCATGCCCTCTTAACCTTAATATTTTCTTTGGTATTTTCGATGGACAGAGATAGGCAAGAACAATATTATATAATCCAAAATCACACTTCTTGTGACTTACGGTGCATGTCCTAAGTAAGATGTGGTCCCTTTAATCACAAGTGTGTCAGGCACGTGTAGGTATGATCTTTCATGGAGGCCCTTAAGAGCAGGGGTCCATCCAAATAACCAAGCTATTTCACCTAAAGTTCCTCCAAAATCCACCTTTTTCAATTCAACCCTAGAAGTCAGAAGTGTCCAGCGAGGGAGGATGGAGTCACAAAAGTCGAGACGGCGGCTGTTTTAAAGGGCACCACACACACAGCTAAAAAGCAGAATTTTGACTGCAGTCCATGGCACAATTTGATGGCCATCTTGAGTTTTTCAAAAACAACCCCCACACACAATAACATGCCCTGAAAACAGTCCTCTTGGTTATTTTGAACAATGATTTTATTAAGGATTATATTCAACAAAGAAACACCACCAGTATGTATGTGGGTGAATATGCTGTATGCGTGTGAAACCATGAAAGACAATGTGAAAAAAGGGGATGCCAACCAAGTTATGATAGGTAATCCTTGAGGTACCGCAGGCGATTTAACAAATGTTCGAAGTTACAACGCACACCGCAAAAGCTAAATCCGAATCCATTTCAAAGTTACAAACTCTGCACGGTCATTCACCCGTACAACTGACCGCAGAGACGCTGCAGCACTCACCTATTACCCTGCCATCTTGTTCAGCCAGGTCTTCTGAGCGAGGCACTGGGCATGCTTGGCCAACATGCTGGGTTCCCCATCTCCAATTTCCCCATCACGTTACTTACCTTTTGACGAGCTCAGGAAATCAGGGTAGAGAAGGCTGCTCCCTTGCTGGACTCCGTGGCCCAATCAAGAAGAACAAATCCAGTCACTTCCGCTTCCGTCGCAAGCCTTTCCTCTCCAGCCAGCATTAACCGGTGCGATTTCTTCTTGGCGCCGCCAGCTCTACCTTTATGCTAGTGCCAGGGGTAGGCCACCTTGGCTCTTTTATGACTCGTGGACTTCAACTCCCAGAATTCCTGAGCCAGCCATGCTGAGGGGAAAGGGAGAGGTTTCCAAGCTGAGCCGTGCTGGCTCAGGAATTCTGGGAATTGAAGTCCACGAGTCATAAAAGAGCCAAGGTTGTCTACCCCTGCCCTAGGCAGCCATGCTGGCTCGGGAATTCTGGGAGCTGGAAGTCCACGAGTCATAAAATGTGAGGGAAGGGAGAGGACCAGTTGTGACTTTTTTCAGCACTGTTGTAATTTCAAATGGAGACTAAGCACATGGCTGTCATTTGAGGACCACCTGTACTATGCTCAATGCCAGGGGTAGGCAACCTTGGCTCTTTTATGACTCGTGGACTTCAACTCCCAGAATTCCTGAGCCAGCCTGACTCAGCTTGGAAACCTCTCCCTTTCCCCTCAGCATGGCTGGCTCAGGAATTCTGGGAGTTGAAGTCCATACGAGTCATAAAAGAGCCAAGGTTGCCTACCCCTGGGCTAATCTTACGCTGGCAGCGCTAAGAAATTGCAGCCATTCTGCTTCCGTGGCAAGCCTTTCCTCTCCAGTCAGCATTAACCGCTATCATTTCTTCTTAGTTCGGCCAGTGTTAAGGTGAGTTGCTAATGTTGGCGGAGCTAAAAAGAAATTGCACGGATTAATGCTGGCTGGAGAGGAAAGGCTTGCAAAGGTGACAGGATTTCTTCCAGAAGGGACCCAGGGCAGAAAACATCCCGCAGCCAAGAAGGCCCCACACACATTTGCACTACTCAGGTGACCCCGAGGACACAGGTAAACCTCCAAATGGCCCCAACGACTCTCTAAAACAAGGGTTTTGTTTTCAAACTTGGCCCTTTTATGACTTGTGGACTTCAACTCCCAGAATTCCTCAGCCAGCGTGCCTGACTGAGGAATTCTGGGAGTTGAAGTCCACAAGTCATAAAAGGGCCAAGTTTGAAGACTCCCCTGCTCTAAAAGAAGGCAAGTGACCAGCTGTCTGCAAGGAACATCAGTCCGTCCAACTTCCACCATTCAGTCAGAACTGAAGAAGCTTCCTGGATGGGAAGCGAAACATCTTCAAAGAAAAACAAGGAAGTCCAGTTGCCTCCTGAAAAAGCACCTTTGGTTCAACATTAACACTATCACTAAACAACCAGATGCATCTTTGTTCCACCCCTCCCCCCATTTTCTCACCTCTAAGCCTTTAGTTCTCCTCACTGATTAACAAAAGGCTAGTTTAAAAAATGACAAAAATTCCTGATGACTTTATTTCCTGATGACATTTATGACCAGAAGTGCATTCCCAGTTGTGGTCATAAGTCAAGGACTACCTGTACTCTGCAAAACATTATAAATACTCCCTAAACTCTTACCACTCTTTTGTGTAATCACTCTGCTCAGTTACTGAGGCTTTGTGAGCAAAACATCCTCACACCCCCAATACTTACGCCCTTTTGCCTCATTGTGTACTCTCTCCTAGTATTTGAGGTTGCTTCACTAGAAAAAAACACTTTCCCCACACCAAACATTTGTAGGATTTCTCTCCTGGGACTGTGTGAAGGTCCTGGTGAACGGTAAGGTGTGACTTCTGAAAAAAAAAAAGTTCCCTCATTGTTCACAACTGAAAGAGTAGATCTCTGCTATGGACATTCTGATGCATTTTTAGCTTTGATTTACAATGAAAAGTTTTTATCACATTCTGCACACTTGTGAGGCTTCTCTCCTGTGTGACTTCTGGTGTGCATGCAAAGTGCTGAAGAATGGGCAAAACACTTTCCGCGTTCCAGACATTTATATGTTTTTTCTCCCGTGTGGATTTGCTGATGCTTCAAAAGAGTGAATTTCCGGGAAAAGCATTTATCGCACTCCGAGCATTTATGGGGCTTCTCTCCTGTGTGGATTCGGCTGTGGCTTCTGAGGGTACATGACCGAGCAAATGCTTTCCCACAGTCTAAACATTTGTAGTTTTTTTCCCCTGTGTGAACTTTCATGTGACATCTGAGGCCTGATTTCATGCGAAAAAATGTTCCACACTCAAGGCACTGAAAGGGCTTCTCCCCCGTGTGAATTTGCTGATGTTTCCAAAGTACCTCCTTATAACCAAAGGATTTCCCACATTCTACGCATCTGTACGGCTTCTCCCCTGTGTGGACCATCTGATGCCTTCCAAGGTGGCATTTTTGGGAAAAGCATTTCCCACACTCCCCACATTTGTATGGTTTCTCCCCTGTGTGGATTCTCTGATGAATCTGAAGATGGGTTGGTGTAATAAAACTTTTCCCACACTCCCCACATTTATACGGTAGCTCTCCTTTGTGCCATTCCTGGTGTCTTTGAAGTTCAGAAGAGTTTACAAATCGTTTCTCACATTCTGGGCATTTGTAGGGTCTGTCGATATTGTGAAGACTCTGATGTCGCACCAGGTTTGATTTCCACGCGAAACATCTCCCACATTCGAGGCACTTTTCCTTTCTCTCCCCTGTGTGTGTTTTCCAATGATTCCGAAGAGTTGAACTGTGGGTGAAACATTTTCCACACTCAAAGCATTTGTAAGATTTGATTCCTGCATGGATCTTCTCATGGATCCAAAGATCTGACTTCCGAGGAAAGCTCTTCCCACACTGCCAACACTTGTAAGGTTTCTCCCCTGTGTGAATTCTCTCGTGATCTCTGAGATAGGCTTTTTTACTGAAAGATTTCCCACATTCCAGACACTGATAAGGTTTCTCTCCTGTGTGGATTTTCTGATGTGTCAGAAGGTGTGACCTTTGACCAAAGTATAAGTCACATTCCTCACATTTATGGAATTTTAGTCTGGGGGGGCTTCCGAGATCTTTGGCATCTTTTCCAGAGAAGATTTTCTCACCCTCCAAAGCTTGGCAGGATCCACTTCCCTCATGGACCTTCCTGTGGGTCAAAAGGAGGGACTGGCAAGCAAAGGTTTTTCCACACTCTGAGCATTCATGGCTTCTTTTGTGGTTTTCTGGAGTGCTGCTTGTGTCTGACGGGGGATCCAAGAGTTTCCCACGCTGCATGGTTTCAATTGGTTGCTGGCTTGTGCTGATTTTCTACTGTCTGTTGATAGTTGACTTGTGGGTCAATCTTTGGTCACAATCTTTTACCCACTGTGAGATGGAGAAAAAAACAACAGAGAAGAACATTTTGAATAACAAAGAATCACAAAATCTTAGCCTTGGAAGGGATCATGAAGGTCTTCCAGTCCCACCCTCTGCCCAGGGCAGGGATCCACAATAACCCTAGATCAGAGGTAGGCAACCTTGGCTCTTTTATGACTCATGGACTTCAACTCCCAGAATTCCTGAGCCAGCACGGCTCAGCTTGGAAACCTCTCCCTTTCCTCTCAGCATGGCTGGCTCAGGAATTCTGGGAGTTGAAGTCCACGAGTCATAAAACAGCCAAGGTTGTCTACCCCTGCCCTAGATAAAATCTGTAGTGATGGAGCCCCCATATCTTTAAGAGGCAAACTCTTTTGCTGTTCACTGACTCAAACTTTCCTCCTTGGTTCTTGACAAGGAGAAAAATGAGCTCTGAAACTAGAGATAGTCCTTGACTGAAATTTTGGTTATTTAGTGAAGCAGTTGTTAGCTGATGAGGTCACGTGACTGCTTTGCTCAACAACTGTAATCCCACACTTCTAGTTCCAGTCATTAAGTGATCTTGAGGGTTCTTAAGTGAAGGCTGGCGCAGGCAAGGGCTGTGGGGGTGCCTCGGTGGTAGTGGTGGTCCTGGATATCTAGCATAAACCACCATGAGTTGGGTGTGTGTGCTGAAGTTGGATGCAAAGGTGCAACCACCCGTGGAAGCCCCAGCTGGGCCCTATAATGTTGCAGAAATACCAGGAGGTATTACGGTAAGTGGAGGCCTGGGGCCTTCAGCTATTTCAGCCAGCTGCTACTGAGCCCAGGCCTGGACTCAGTAGCAGCTGAGAAATGCAGCCTTAATCTGTGAGAGGGATCTCAGAGTCCTAGTGGACAATCACTTAAATATGAGCCAACCGTGTGCTGCAGCTGCCAAAAAAGCCAACACAGTGCTAGGCTGCATTAACAGAGGGATAGAATCAAGATCACGTGAAGTATTAATACCACTTTACAATGCCTTGGTAAGGCCATGCTTGGAATACTGCATCCAGTTTTGGTCACCATGATGTAAGAAAGATGCTGAGACTCTAGAAAGAGTACAGAGAAGAGCGACAAAGATGATCAGGGGACTGGAGGCTAAAACATATAAGGAATGGTTGCTGGAATTGGGTATGTCTAGTTCAGGGGTAGGCAACCTTGGCTCTTTTATGACTCGTGGACTTCAACTCCCAGAATTCCTGAGCCAGCCATGCTGAGGGGAAAGGGAGAGGTTCCCAAGCTGAGCCATGCTGGCTCAGGAAGTTGGGAGTTGAAGTCCACGAGTCATAAAAGAGCCAAGGTTGCCTACCCTTGGTCTCGTTTAATGAAGAGAAGGACGAGGGGGGACATGATAGCAGTATCTCAGGAGCTGCCCCAAAGAAGAGAGAGTCAAGCTATTCTCCAAAGCGCCTGAAGGCAGGACAAGAAGCAACGGATGGAAACTGATCAAGGAGAGAAGCAACCTAGAACTTAGAAGAAATTTCCTGACAGTTAGAACAATTATCCAGTGGAACCACCTGCCTCCAAAAGCGGTGAATGCTCCAACACTCCAGCAAAGCTTCCCCTTTTATACTCAGGTTCTTAAACGGACACAGACTCCTGCTGAGTCATTTCTATCATTGCATCATCCACCTTACATTACATTACACCATTACATGAACTGTTTAGCTATTAAATGATTACCTTGACATAAATAAATAAATGGATTTTTAGAGATTCTACCCGCTTTTGCCAAACGAAAGCAAGTGAAAGCAAACAATATTCACTTTTTCTCTCTTTTTTAGATTTAAGAACAAAGTGCTCCAATATCTCAGGGGCTGCCACAAAGAAGAGGGAGTCAAGCTATTCTCCAAAGCGCCTGAAGGCAGGACAAGAAGCAACGGATGGAAACTGATCAAAGAGAGAAGCAACCTAGAACTAAGGAGAAACTTCCTGACAGTTAGAACAATTAACCAGTGGAACAACTTGCCTCCAGAAGCGGTGAATGCTCCAACACTGGAAGTTTTAAAGAAGAGACTGGACAGCCATTTGTCTGAAATGGTATAGGGTTTCCTGCCTGAGCAGGGGGTTGGACTAGATGACCTCCAAGGTCCCTTCCAACTTTATTATTATTATTATTATTATTATTATTATTATTATTATTATTATTATTATTATTGATCATCGCACAGTCAGCCAGATGTTCAGACTGGATTTGGCATTTTGTCTACCTATCGAGTCCTTTCCCAGGACCTGGGATAGGCAGATACTACTACTACTACTACTACTACTACTACTACTACTACTACTACTACTATTATTATTATTATTATTATTATTATTATTATTATTATTATTATTATTATTATTATTATTATTATTATTATCATCTTTTCCGGGTTGGGAGAACATGAGCTCAGTTCAAGCCAGTTAACCTTTTTTTTAAAAGAATTCTCCCCCCCCAATTGAAAGAAGTCGAGCATTTCTTTCCATTACACTACAATCTCCCCCCAAATAAATCCTTTATAAAAGACCCCTTTCCCTCCATTTAGCCGCAGTGTTTCTCAACCTTGCCAATTTTAAGGCATGTGGACTTCAACTCCCAGAATTCCACAGCCAGCATTGCTGGCTGTGGAATTCTGGGAGTTGAAGTCCACATGCCTTAAATTTGGCAAGGTTGAGAAATACTGCGGAGTCTGCCTCTTGTTCCCAGAGACGCCCAGTCCAGTCCAGTGCCATCTACCCACCCGGGATCCTCGCATGCTCAGGGGACCCTCTTGGGAACCGGGGCCGAGGGGAGACTCCGAGCTACCTTTCTCCTTGCGAGGAAAAGCCCCCCTGGCAGGAGGGGACCGGAGGGGAAGCAGCCTCGCCAGTCCGGAGCTGGACAGAGCCAACCCCTCCCGACGCGTCCATCGCCGGGACTGAGCGGAGAAGCGCGCGTGCTCAGACGCAGCCGTGAGGCGGGGGGGCGGGGCTTCTTCTCCCTTCGGGCCCCGCCTTCCGCAAGTAACCACGCCCCTTGCTGTCAGCCGGGTTGTTTTTTTCCCCTGCCTGGGAACTTTGGCTCGCAGCAGGGAAAAGCTTGGATTCAGCGTTGGCCCCGCCCACTGGGTCCCTTTCCCCCCCCCCAACCTTCTAAATGGGATTTTCCTTTGGGTCGCTTTTCATTTCTCCTTTGCAGAGACCAGAGACCTTGGAAAGAGGTGGCTTTAGAAGTTGGGGGTGCGTCATCACTGGGGGTTTTGAGGAAGACCCCCCCCAAAAAACAGCTACTTGTCTGAAATGGTATAGGGCAGGGGTCTTCAAACCTGGCCCTTTTAGGACTTGTGGACTTCAACTCCCAGAATTCCTCAGCCAGGCATGCTGGCTGAGGAATTCTGGGAGTTGAAGTCCACAAGTCATAAAAGGGCCAAATCTGTTGATGTTACACTATATAACAGCAGCAAGGACATTGATTGCTCAAAATTGGAAAAACGAGATATTACCGAATATGGATGATTGGAGACAGAAAGTTTCATATTTTGCAGAAATGGCAAAAATATCCGCATACCTGAAGGATCAATATCAGGAGAAATTTATTTTGGTATGGAGAAGATGGACAGACTATATTCAGAGAAAATATGAAATGAATAATTATCATATAGCTTTTGGCTAATTATTGTTATTTATAAATATTTTTATATATACTTTATATATATATAGTTTATAGTTAAGTTGATTGTATATTAGAGTTATAGTAAGTTTATACTTGTTTATATTATGAATGGGTTGTTTGGGTTAAATTTGGATTACTACATGTTTATTCCTGTATTCAGCTCTGGGAAGTCCGGGGGGGGGAGGGGGAAGGGGATTAGGGGAAAGAAATTATAAAAATTGATATATTTATATGTTAGAGGTAAATAATGGAATTGTATTGAGAAGAGGAGATGCTCGGCTGGTACCCCAAACTGCACTCGATGAGGTGGTTAAGAAGGGAGATGGGATGTAGGTAGGTAGAAAGGAGGAAGGAGGAGAGGTTGTGGGTCTAGAGGGAGGAAGGATAGGAAAGTGAATGAGGGTGGAGGCAAGGCGGGGACTGCCGAGCGTTTCCGAAAATGTATTGACTAGGATTATCTTTTTTGTTTGTGTATGTAAATGCATCATATTGGTATTTGCTGTTTAATTACAAAAATCAATAAAAATTTTATTTAAAAAAAGGGCCAAATCTGAAGACCCCTGTGGTATAGGGTCTCTTGCTTGAGCAGGGGGTTGGACTAGAAGACCTCAAAGGTCCCTTCCAACTCTATTTTGATTGATTGATATGAACTCCCAACAGGTGTCCTTGGATCAGGAGCCATGCACTTTTTCCCGGGACTTCCTTCTTGAGAATTTGGAAATGGTGGCCCAGTTGAGCTGTGTCCAGCCAGAAAGGATCTATATATATCTTGTATCTTGGGGGTGTCTTTTTCGATACCAAAAAAGTACAGATCACATCTGCCTATCCCAGGTCCTGGGTAAGTACTCGATAGGTAGACAAAATGCCAAATCCAGTCTGAACATCTGGCTGACTGTACGATGATCCATAATAATAATAATAATAATAATAATAATAATAATAATAATAATAATAATAATAATAATAATAATAATAATAATAATAATAGTGGTAGTGATGGTGGTGGTGGTGGTGAAGGAAGGGATCTTAGAGGTCATCTAGTCCAACCCCCTATACCATTTCAGTGCTCAACGTACGACCACAATGGAGCCCAGAATTTATATTACTGAGAAATTTGTTAATTGAGCTTTGCCTCATTTTGCAACTTGTCTTTTCACTTTTGTGAAGTGAATCACTGCAGTTGTTAAATTAGTAACATGTTTGTTAAGTGAATCTGGCTTCCCCATGGACGTGGCTTGTTAGAAGGGCACAAAAGAAGACC